ATAATTTTTCTATCAACTTTGTTTCTCTTATTTCATCTTACAGGACTTAAACCAACAGAATGATTGGTTTTGCTGAGGCCAAGAATGACCTATAACACATGTCTTTTTCTAATTCTGAACTTGTATCTTCTATCAATGTTGTTTATCATATTTCTGATGTACAAAGTCCTGTTGAACTTGTTGGGACTTAATCTTGTGGTGCATAATGTTTTCTATGTTACTACTTTTACTTTCAATCTTATTTAAGTATCAAAATTAACTGCTTAAAATAATTGTTCTCTCAACTTTGTTTCTCTTATTGCATCTTACAGGACTTAAACCAACAGAACGATTGGTTTTGCTGAGGCCAAGAATGACTTACAACACATGTCTTTTTCTAATTTTGAACTTGTATCTTCGATCAATGTTGTTTATCATATTTCTGATGTACAAAGTCCTGTTGAACTTGTAACTGATTCTACTGTTTGTGTCACTCCAATTATTTTTTCATCACATGAACTATATCACAATAGGTTGGGTCACTTGTCTTGTCACAAACTTGGTACATTACCTGAATGTTCTACTTTGAATTGCAAATCATTTACCTATTTACCTTGTGATACTTGTCATTTTTCTATACATAAGTAGTTACCATATACAAATAGTATTTCCATAGCTTCAAAATCTTTCAAACTCATACATTGTGACATTTGAGGTCCTTTTTTCAGTTTTCTCACATTCTAGTCATATATATTTTCTAACAATTGTTGATAATTACATTAGAGTTACATGGGTCTACCTTCTCATTTATAACTAAAATACTAAAAAACTATTTATAACATTTTTTAAAACCTCATACTTACACAATTTCAAAAAAATATAAAGTGTATAAGAATATATAATTGTTTTGAATTCTTCATGCATGACCAACTCATGGAATCATACATCAAACTTCTTTGTTGAAACTACACAACAAAATAGTTGAGTTTAGAGGAAAAAACAAAAGTTACTTTAGGCTGCTAGAGCCATTCATTTTCATGGTCATAATTTTACATTTTTGGATTGATTGTATTATTGTTGTCACACATATAATTACTAGACTACCATCCTCTAGTCATGAAAACATCACTTCTTTTGAAAAATTGTACGATAAACCACCTACACTTGATCATTTAAAAGTTATTGGTTGTCTTTGTTATACATTCAGTACTATGCACATAGATCTAACTTTGATCCTAAAGATCTAAATACATATTATTGGGTTACTTCCTTGGTTGTGAAGATGAAAAAATATTCATTTCACCTATAAAATGAAAAAAAAATAGAAATTAAAAAACATACAACATCATAAAAAATGTAAAATGAAAAAATATAAATTAAAAAACATGCAACATCATAAAAGTATCATATAACACGTCATGGGGCCTTGTCGTGCTGGGTCGTCTCCCCCTAGTAAATATATATAAGGGTGGGGGGTGTTGGAATATAAATAAATAATAGAAAGACCTACATGCAAATATGAAAAAAGCCAATGCAAAATTTGCGTTGAAATGTAAATTTGCGTTTGCGAAGGAGAGAGAAGGCCGAGAAATTCATTTTGCAGATGCGTGTGTGTAGGGAACTTTATCGAGAAAATAAATATAAGATGACTATTTAATATAATATCGAGGCATGTGAAAACACAGTGTCCTTAAAACAGATTCACTCCGCATGAGTGTCTGTTTCTCAGGATACAACGGCAAAATCAAATAAAGTCCGGCAAACTGGAACTATGCTTGAACCAAAACATGTAAAGAAAAATGGGGAATATTTCTTTAGAAATATTGTATTTGCTTTTCTTGCTTTTGTGTGTTTGTAAAACTCAACCAAAGCCTATATTTATATGGCCTTAAGGATGAATGATACAACCAAAACATTAACTCCCAAAATTTAAAGAAAAATAGAGTTAACATCTTGCAACATTTAAAACACACCTATTCGGCGGTCGGCCCCCTAGCTCTTGGGTAGATGATCACATCTTGCAATATTAAAGAATAAGTTACAAATTAAATTAGTAAGATGAAAGTTAATGTTATGTTTTGTTTCATTCATTTTTTTCCAACAGTTTACAGTGCGTATGGATTTATGTCAACGACAAAAAATGAGTTTTGCATCTCGGTTGGACATGGTCTTAGGAATAGCTGCAAACCTAGTAATCCATGAAAATGACAAGGCACTATTGTTAGAAAAATTTGTTCGAAGGCCCCATTTAACTTCAATACATTAACACTAAAGTGCATAATACAATTTTTCTTACAAAGTCATTGAGAGGACCTACTTTCACACACTTAAAAGACCAGGTGGAATTTGTAAAAATATACATCTTCTATTTGTGGGGATATTAACACCAAAAATTGTGCTATTTATTATATTCATTGATTTTNATATATATATATATATTTATTAAAATATATATATATATAGTTAAAGAATATATTAAAAAATATATATGTAATTTGTTAGCAAAAAAATATTTAATAATTATTATTTTATATTTTTGATTCAGGGTGTTAGTAGACCCTGAATCAATACATAATTTTTCGATTGCAGAGACAGGCTCGTTCGTGTTACAGAACAATCGAAAATTGCATGAATTGTACTTTTTTTTTTCATTTTTAAGTTGAATGGTTTTTTTTGTTTTGCTAAACTTCAGTTGAATGAGTTTTTTTTATTCTAACGTCCAATTTATAACAAATTATTTTGAATATATAACATAATAATTTATAATAATATTATTTTATAAAAAATAAAAAAAAAACAAAAAACATGATGTCCGGCTGGTCGGACCGGTCGGACCGGTCACGACCGGCCGTCGGGGCCGGACGCCATTTGGGCCGTCCGGTTTCGGCGGCTGGACAAAAATATATATATTTTTTTTTTTTTTTACTTTTTGAAAAAAAATGGCAAGGGCAAAAATATCCAAGGGGGGACGGTAAATAGTACTCCCTCCTATTCATAATAAGCGTCGTTTTGGGAAGTTGCACACTAATTAAGAATAATTTTTTTGTCAATTATAACTCTCATTAATGAAGATAGAGATAGATGGTTTAAAAAAAAGATGAAGAGAATATGAAAAGACATAGTGTATTTATTAACTAAATGAGGGTAATAATGGAAAAATATGTACAAAAGATCCAAAACGACATTTATTTTGGTTAATAGTTGATAGCCAAAATGACATTTAAAAAGAATAGGAGGTAGTAATAGGGAGAACAGTGAATAGTAATCCCCTTTCTTTAACATACTCAAATTAAAAGACATTTAAGGTCGTTTTTTTTTTTGAGTCATTCCGCATACAATAGTATAAGAGCTTGTTTGCCATGACAGGATAATTGAAATCTTGTATGGAGCGACAAGATTGTACTGTATAGACAAACATGAAACTTTGTTTGGAATCAATGATCATTCTTAAGACAGGATTTCTAAGAAATCATGAGTCTATGTTTGCTTACCAAGACTATGTTCAGGATAAGAAATGAATTGACCAAATTGCCCTATTGTTTTCCTTTTCATTTTCCCAAACTGAATACAAAATTAAAAAATCCTTGTTTGCTGTTATTCAAAAAAATAAAAAATAAAAAATAAAAAATAAAAAAATTGGTGGGACAAATTCATCTTCATCTCCCTTCTTTGCTTTTATTTTCTTTTTTCAAAATAAAATAATGGTCTGCAATTGACCAAGCAAAACGACCGGCGAAATTATTTTGGGTTGGCGAAACTCATGACCGTTCGCGGGAATTAGAGTTGAGCCGTCGGCAAACGGCTATTTAGATCGAGAATCGATCGTTTCATAAATCCTCTAACGAAGTTATTTTAATCTCTGACTGGTGAGTTTGAATTTTTCGCCAAATATTATTGAGACGGGGAAGGCAAATATATACCTGGTACGCGAACGGGAATTACGAAATTAGGAAAGACGAGCAGTGGTGCTTGATTCTTTTGTGTAAGCAATTAAGTTCAGGCTTTTGTGAGATTTTAGGCAAATGGTTGCAAGTGTAAATTAGCACAATTGCAGGGTTAAATTGGGGGAAAAAAATTAGTTTTGGGGTTAATTTTGTCATTTGAAAGGTAACTACTGTACAGATTTTTTCAATCTAGGCATCCTTCCCCCGACCAATTAATCGCCTTAAGCCGAGATTCCCCAAGTTTTAATCGCGGGCTGGGCATAATCGGCGGGCGCTGCACTACTTTTGGGGTGGATAAATGGGTTAATCTTATATAATCTACCATAACAAATGAGCTCTAAGATATCTACAATGCATTGGGTCTAGTTTTGTCTATGTGATATGTAAATAAACTCAAGTTTTAGATCACATGTATAAAACTACGTAAAATTAATAAAATTCACTTCAATGCAAAGAGATTATATCTCTACTTTAGTCTAAAATAGATTTAAGCGTAGACAGGGTCTTTGGGTAGACCGAGTCTTTTTTTCTAACTGTCACATCAGCAGGATTCAGTCTATTTTTATTTGCATCAAAAATACATTTTTCAGATTAAGTATATTTTTTAGATGACATGTAATTTTTTGTGTTGTAATTAATTTCTCTCTCAAATATTAAAAGAAGAAAGAAAATGCATAATAATGAATTGGATAAAGCCAACATAGGGTCCCACTTGTTTTACTCTTTTTGTCAAACAAGTCAGCCAAAGCCCCACCGCCAGCCGTGTGATTACACCACACACACCCATTTTATTTTATATTTTGTTGGTCTCTTTTTCCTCGTTGGGTTGAAATTCCCCTTCTTCCACATTCTTCACTATCTATCTCGCAATTGCATTGCTCCCACTTTTCGGCTTTTTCTTTTCTTTTTCTTTCTTTTTTCCTGAGCAGCCCCACACTCCATCTATATCCCTACCTGTGACCCGTGACACATTCTTAATAATAATATTTTTTTATTCAACTTTTNCATCGCTTCATTTTGTTCCTTTTCAATCCAAATTCTTTTCTCAAAATAAATAAATAAATCAGGAGCAATAAAATGTCGGCCAAGGCCCAAATCGTTTCTCGCAAGAGAAAGCTCGAGGAGACTAACGTAGACGATTACGAATTTTCTGGTGTTTTCCCTCTGAACGACCTCAATCAAGACCTCCTCGAGAGAGTCCTCTCACGGCTGCCGGCGTCCTCCTTCCTCCGCCTCACCTCTGTCTGCAAGAGATGGAAATCCGTCGCCCATTCCCCAACTTTCAACCTCGCCTGCTCCGAAATCCGCCGCCGCGAGCCCTGGTTCCTCATGGTCCGCTCCCGACCCGACCCGACCCGCCCCACCACCACCGTCTTCGACTCGTCGGAGAACAACTGGAAGCAGATCCCGACCCCGCTTTTCCCCAAACGCCGCGGCGATTACATCCCCGTCGCCTCCTCCGGCGGCCTCCTCTGCTTCCACCGCGCCGCCGGCGAATTCGTCGTCTCCAACCCCGTCACCTCCTCCTCCCGCCAGATCCCCGCCCCACAAACCCCCATCCTCGCCGTCGCCTTATCCTCCACCGCCGGAAATTTCAGAATCTTGCTAATCTCCGGCGAACTCCCGCATCTCGCGTTCAGCCATTACCACTCCGTCACCGGCGAGTGGGCGGAAAGCATCCCCCTGACAAGAAAATCAAACCCCGCCAGAGAATCTCCGGCAACATTCCCGGACGACGAGTGCACGAACTATTTCCTGTCCAAAAACGGGGACATTGTCTCGGCAGACATACAGAGAAGCCCGTCCAAGCAATTCTCCTCCATCCTCACCGTTCAAAACGGGGACGAGATTTTGGATTTTCTGAGTTCCACCGGAACAATAATCTCCTGCAACCTCAACCAGAGAATTTTCTCCGAGTACCCAAGAATTCTCCCAGTTTTGTCAGAGTACTCGATCGACTTAATTGAGTCGGGAGGCGAAATGCGAGTTGTCCTGCTTTCCGAATTTTTCGAGACCTCCAGCCTCCGGGTTTGGGCGTGGGACCGCAAAATCGAGACTTGGCGCCAGGTGGCGGCAATGCCGCCACATATGTCGCATATGTTGTACGGGAAGAAGGCTGACGTCAACTGCATGGGGTCTGGTGGGGAAATGCTTGTGTGTGTGAGTTCGGAAGAGGTTTGTAGCTATTTCATGTGCAATTTGGAGGCGAATGAGTGGGTTGAGCTGGACAATGGGGCGGCGGACGAGTTTGTGAACGCGCTCGCGTTCGAGCCAAGGATTGAAGCTTGTGTATGGGGAAAGTAGGAGTTTTGTATAATTGTATTGAGATTTATTTTTTGCTTGCTTTAGGGTGTTGGATCTTTGTGTGTGTGTGTGTGACAGTTTATGTTTTGTGTGTTGAGCAAATGAAAGATTTGATTGATGTAGCCGTGCTTATTATTATTATTATTATTATTATTGTTGGCAATTGTTTAGTCAAGGTAGATTTAGTGATAGAGGTGGTCAACAAGCTTGGACCAACTCCATTATGCTATGCTATATTAAATCAAGACAATCAAATCGAAGTGAATTCATTGTAAGAGAGCAAGTGAAGTTGATGTAACAATATTTATCCGATTTAATCATATATCGGTGTAGCGGAATGATCAAGATTACATACCTCCAGACATTGCTTGTGTATGTTTGAGTTATTTGAAGAACTTGTAGAAGACAATGGTGAAGGCTTCAGCACATTCACTTTTATTCGGTTAGGATCTTCTAGGCTCTCTCACTTTTTCTTTAGATGGTGTTAGATTCAATAGTTACACAGTGATGAGCCTAGGGACCTTTTAAAACCGATGGTACCCTTTGGCAGAAAGATACTTTTGGCAGTAGACACCTTTTGATAGATATCATTTGAAGAAACGGTGTGATGTCTAGTTATTAATTCTATCCATCACAGAATTAATATCAACTATCTAAACTGTATGGATTAAGAAAATTAACAGTACTTGTACTCCTTACAAAATAGAAACATGTGGACCACTTTAAATTATCTTTTTTATTCATGATACAAGATAACTGAGAAAATAAAATACTAACATTCTCCCACCTGGTCCATATGTCACTATATCCAAAACCATAAAATACGAAGAACACGAATCATGGCGATATGTCCTCTAAAATCGAGTAGTATCTTCCATGTATTACAATGCACTTTGATCCATAAAAACTGCCTTTTAACTTAATGAATAAACCCAATGTTTATTCTAGGTCCAAACATAAATGATAGTTCTCAAGATAAATGTGCACAAATTAAGTGAGAAAATATCAATAAAATTTTCAATGTAACAAGTAACAACAAATGTACGTACAACCAAATGTTACCTACTAGAACCGAGTCCCATTCGTTCTACATGATTCTAAAAATTCTTAGGTGGCATGCCCTTAGTCAAAGGATCAATAATGTGCTCAATGACCACTTTTTCTTCTTTCACACGTTCCCTCACGGCTAAGTACTTGATGTCGATGTGTTTACTTCGACTTCCACTTTTATTATTCTTAGCCATGAATACCGCAGCTGAATTATCACAATGTAGTCTCCATGGCTTAGATATAGGATCAACAATTCTAAGCCCAGATATGAAACTCTTTAACCATACACCATGACTAGTAGCTTCAAAACACAATACGAACTCCGTTTCCATTGTCGAGGTAGCGATCAAGGTTTGTTTGACACTTTTCCAAGATATAGCTCCGCTGGCCAACATGAAAATTTATCCAGATGTGGATTTTCGTGAACCAATGCAGCCAGCAAAGTCAGAATCTGAGTAACCAGTCACCTCCAAATTTTCATTTTGTCTATACATGACCATATAATCTTTTGTCCCTTGAAGGTACCTTAGCACCTTCTTTCCGGCTCTCCAATGGTCAATACCTGGATTAATCTGATATCTCCCTAACATCCCAACTACAAATGCAATGTCTGGTCTGGTACAGACCTGAGCATACATAATGCTTCCAACAGCTGAAGCATATGGAATGGACTTCATTTGTTCATGTTCGAGCTCATTTTTCGGACATTGATTCAAATTGAATCTATCACCTTTTACAATTGGGGCTACGCTTGGTTAACAATCTTTCATATGAAATCTCTCTAAAACTTTATTAATATAGGCCTTTGAGACAAACCTAAAATGCCTCGAGATCTGTCTCTATGAATCTTAATGCCAATGACATAAGACGCATCACCCATATCTTTCATATCAAAGCTTTTACAAAGAAATTGTTTCACCTCATATAACATAATCTTATCATTAGTTGTAAGTAGTATATCATCAACATAAAGAACTAGAAAACATATCTTACTCCCACTAACCTTCTGGTATATACATTGATCCATGATGTTTTCTTCAAAACCAAGTGAAGTGATAACTTCATGAAACTTAAAATACCTCTGTCGGGAGGCTTGTTTCAGCCCATATATTGATTTATTAAGCTTGCAAACTAAATGTTCACCCTTACTAGGGGAAAACCCATCAGGTTGTTTCATATAAACATCCTCTAGTAAACCACCATTAAGGAATGCCGTTTTCACATCTATTTGATGTAACTCAAAATCAAAAGAGCTACTAATGCTATAATAACTCGAAGAGAATCTTTCTTAGATACCGGAGAGAAAGTTTCCGTGTAATTAATTCCTTCTCTTTGAGTGAATCCTTTTGCAACAAGTCTTGCTTTATATCTTTCGATGTTTGTTCGCCTATATTTTTAAAGCTCGACCGCAAGTATACGGCTTCACTCGTAGTATGTGGCAAGCAAGGTCGTATCCCAAGAGACCAAATAATTAATATATCAAGTACCAGATTATGACAGTGTCAACTTTATTTAGACGACCGACTATGTGATGGATTAACTAAACTAAGAAAATATAATTAAAGAGAAATAAAGCAACAAGAAGAAACTAGCTAGAAAAACACGTAAGAAGATGTATGAGAATGATAGATTCTAAGACTTTGGTTTCAATTAATAGTTGAGTTCCTTCAGAAATATCACAACCAATGTTTTCTTTATCTTCCCTATAAGATGATCACAAATTTAGCTTATCGTCCCTCTCAAGATCGATAAAACCGTAGATTAAATCACATATATTAGCGTCTCCACTCAACACATGCAATTCAACTCCAAATAGATTAAAAGATCTAATATCCTCACAACGACCTACTAATCTCTCGATTCAAGCAAGTAAATTGTGTCAAATATTAAAGACCTAATATTGAACTCATCTCTCGAATTATGAACAATATTGTCAAACATGTAAAAGCATTGATCAAGTGCTAAACATGAAACAAGAACAAAATATTTAAATAGGGTTCAAAAGAAAAACAATCAATTATAATACTTCATCCAAAATCCCAACATATTGATCTACTACAAAGTCCTAGAATCAAATAAACTAGCCACCCATGTTCGAATTAAAATACATAGACATATTAGAAATCGACATGATCAATAAAAGTTCAAAAGGAAAGAAGAAATAAAATCTAGGAATTTCGTCGATCTTTCAATCTTCTTGATTCCTTCGTAGTTGGATCTTCTTTTGTTTCCCAATTGCTTCCCTTGTGTGTTCTAGGGCCTCTCTAATGTGTATTCACGTTCCTCCTCTCAAAATAGGGTAAATATGTCTTTTATAATGTCCAAAACCCTCTCCTTTTCAAAATAGGTAAGATATAAAAAACTGCCTGCGCGCGCGACACGGCCATTCTGCCCGTGCCACGGTCCGTGTCGCAGCCCGTGTCAGGTCCCAAGGCTTCGAATTCTCTCTGTTGAGGTGACACGGCCTCTGACACGGGCATGGTGCCCGTGTCACTGCCCGTGTCACAATCCTGCTTGCTCGTTTTTGTCCGTTTCACTCGTTTCTTCCATTTTTCTCATTCGTGCATCAATCTATCATCATCCCGGGGGTCCTAGGTACTCACCATGCGCCTCCAATAGCCACAAGCTCTACAAATATGTGGAACTATCTACAAAACAAGCACTTGTAATACATTTCCAACATGATATAAAATTATAGCACAATAATGCAATTTATACACCAATAACACAATGACTAAGCTCTAGATACTCAATAAATATGGTGTAAAATCACACATGAACAAACCCCCGAACTTGAACCATTGATAGTCCCGATCAATGCATCAAACTCCTACCAACACTCACGAAAAACAATCACACTCTCAAAGTCAATCATACACAATCTCAATATGCATCGGATAAATAATATAACTAAGTTCTGGAATTTTTAAACTTAATGAATGTTTCAACAAAATCATGGTCAATGCTTTAATTCACTAACCTCACCGGATAAGTGTATACTCTCACTCTCAAAATTGTATAGGGAAATAATCGCTCAAATCAATTCAATGTTGAAGAATTACCATAAGCTTGCAAATCGTCAAATATCTCCACCACTCATTGTGCATGCAATTCGTGAATCAAAAAGGACTTTCATTTGGTTGTAATGTAGGCTCTTTGGTTAGGGTAGAAAAAATATGGATAAAGTGACGAAAACTTGAGCATCTATTACTACAAAACATGAATTACACAATTTCATCACCTATTAATCAATATCAAGCTCAAAACAACTTATCTCATACCCAATTTCAATCAATAATCGCAAGCCATATAAAAAATTCTAAAAATCCAACCAAACCGCCTTTATTTGAGTCAAGGCTAAAATATATGCAACTATACATACGATTTTTTTTTCTCTTTTTTTCTCTTTTTTTTCAATTTTTTTTTTCAACTTTTTTTCAGTGTTTTTTTTCTTTCGATATTTTCTTTTTTTTTTTTTCGACTCTATCAACCTCATTCAACTTCCCTCATCAACTTACACTCTCATTCACGTCCTCCCTTCATCCATACCACAAACAATACACTCATCCTCTTCACATAATATAATCCTAAATGCTCAAGTAAGGACAAGGAAAATAATAGATGTAGCTCAATATGTGGCATTCAAAGAAAGTAGGCAAAAGCTCAAAAGGGTTAACTAGGGAATAAAAATATCATTTGGTAAGCTAAAAGGGTAAAAAAGGCTCAAACAAAAAAATGCCTTAGATCACTTTCACAAAAAGCACACACCATGTGGTCTCGATAAAGATACCAATGCAAGTTCTAGAATTTAATCAACAATGAACAATACACTCGACAAAAAAAAAAAATAAGGCTTAAAAGCTCACAAAGGATCATATATTCATGAATTAAAAGCATCAACCAATCATTCAAATTCACCATTCCATCAATTCTCAAATACCATCACTTAG